CTTCACCCTCCCCTCCCCTCCCCCCTTCAAACACTTTAATTCCATTTTTACATTTTCTCATATTTTTTTCCTTTTCACTTGTTCCCCCTTCCCTATCCTTCTCACTGTCCCTTCACCTTTGGTCCTTTTCTTCCTATTTGCTAAGTGTCCCATTAGGATCTTGAGTACTATTTTAGTTTTTCACACCAGAGATACTATTTGGTATTTGCATTTGTGTGCCTTATTTATTTCACTAAGAAGTATATCCTCAAAATATCCATTTACCTATGAATGAGTCTACTTTCTCATTCTTTATGGCTGAGTAGTATTCCATTTTGTAGAAAAACCACATCTTCTTTATCCAGTTTCCAACTGATGGGCAGATGGGCTGTTTCCAAGTTTTAGCTATTACAAACTGTGCCGCTATAAACATGGGTGTGCATATATCACTGTGGTATGATTCTTTCACTTCCTTTGGAAAGATACCCAGCAGAGGCATGGCTGGGTCAAATGGAACCTCTAATCCTAGTTCTTTGAGGTATCTTCATATTGACTTCCATAGTGGTTGCACCAGTCTGTATTCCCACCAACAATGGAGAAGGATTCCTTTCTCCCCACAACCGCACCAGCATTTGTTATTGTGTGATTTCTTGATAAGAGCCATTCTTTGTGGGGTGAGGTGAAATCTCAGTGTTGTTTTCATCTGCATCTCTCGTATGACCAGTGATGTGGAACATTTTTTCATATATTTACTTACTGCTTTTATTTCTTTGTCTGAGAAATGTCTGTTCATTTCAGATGCCCACTTTAGAATTGGGTCTTTATATTTGGGGGGGGCTGGTTGTTTTGAGTTCTTTATATATTTTAGATAATAGTCCTTTGTCTGAGGAGCAGCTGGTAAAAATTTTTTCCCCACATTGTAGGTTGTCTCTTAGTTCTGTTGATGGTTTCTTTTGCAGTGCAGAAGCTTTTTAATAAGATGAGATCCCACTTGTTGATTCTTTCTGCTAGTTCCCATGCTACTGAGGATTTGTTCAAAAAGTCTTTTCCTATGCCAATGTCTTCCAGAGTTCTGCCTAACTTATCTTCCAGCAAGTTTAGTGTTTTTGTTTTTATGTTTAGATATTTAGTCCACTTGGATTTTAATTTAGTGCATGGTGACAGATAAGGGTCTAGTTTTAATCTTTTGAAGGTTGAGATCCAGTTTTTCCAACACCATTTATTAAAGAGGCTATCTTTCCTCCAGTGGGGACTGGCAGCTCCTTTGTCAAAGATGAGGTAGCTGAGTGCATCTGGAGTTGTTTTTGTGTCTTCCAATCTGTTCCACTGATCCTCAGGCCTGCTTCTTTGCCAGTAGCATGCTGTTTTTATCACAGTGGCTTTGTAGTATAGTTTCAAATTAGAAATTGTTATACGCGCTGCCATGTGTCTGCTGCCTAGTATGGCTTTTGCTATTCTAGTTCTTTCATGGTTCCAAATGAATTTTTGGATTCTTCTTTCTAGTTCTGTGAAGTATAGTGTTGGGATTTCAATTGGTATTGCATTGAATCTGTATAGCAGTTTTGGTAGTATGGCCATTTTCACTATGTTGATTCTTCCTACCAGGAGCAGGGGACATCTTTCCATTTTCTTAAATCCTCCTTGATCTCTTTTTTCAGAGTGCTGTAGTTTTCAGTGTAGAGGTCTTTTGCTTCTTTTGTTAGGTTGATTCCCAGATACTTCATTTTTTTGGATGCTATTGTGAAAGGAATTGTTTCCCTAATTTCTCTCTCAGTGAGTCTGTTATTTGTGTACAAGAAGGCTATTGATTTTTGTGTGTTGACCTTGTATCCAGCTACTCTGCCAAAAGTGTCAATTAAGTCGAGAAGTCTTTTGGTGGAGTTTTTTGGGTCTTCAATGTAGAGTATCATATCATCAGCAAATAATGACAGTTTACCTTCTTCCTTTCCTATCTTTATTGCTTTAATTTCTTTCTCTTGTGTAATTGCTGTAGCTAATGTTTCCAGAACTATATCGAAGAGGAGTGGTGATAGTGGGCATACCACACTTCTTTTATCCATTCTTCTGTTGAGGGGCCTACAGGTTGTTTCCAAGATTTAGCCATTTTAATTGTGCTGTTATAGGCATGTATCCATGAAATATGATGACTTTAACACTTTCACTATATTTTTATACCATACCTTCTATATGTCAGCCAGTGTGACATTTTACAGCCCTAACCTCATTTAATCCTCAGAATAGTTCTGCTTGGTAAGCATTATTTTTTCCATTTTATGGGTGAAATTGA